AAAAAATTGCCCAAGCTCTAAGAATGGGGATTTTTTTTCTGAGACACTATATGATATACTGATTCTGAAAAACCAAAAATAAATTTTCCTTTACTTTTTTCCCGCTAATTTCCTACTGCACCCAGGCTATAATATTTACAACCTCTAACCAACGTCGGCCAAACGGTTGTAACCAACCTCCATAATATATATAATTATTATGTATTATTATAGACGTTGTCGCAACATCACAGTACTCTGTTGGCCCGACATCGGTAAACGTTTGAAATTTACAACTTCTAACCAACGTCGGCCCAACTGTTGTCACCAACCTCCACTAACGTTTACCGACGTCGGGCCAACAAAGTACTGTGACGTTGGACAAGGTCTGTTATCACATCCTAATATTTACAACCTCTAACCAACGTCGGGCCAACGGTTTTAACCAACCACCATTTCAAACGTTTACCGACGTCGGGCCAACAACGTACTGTGACCATAAGCGTAGATCCCGGGGGGATGGGGATATATCCCCCCAATATTTGACAAGGGGATGGTCCGTTGTATCATCCCCCCCCCCAATATTTTGACTATGTATGGGATAAAATGGAGATTTACACACTTCAAAAGACTGTCACAGAAATAATTTGCACTGTCTTTTGCGCTTACAAGGATGAAAATTAGCATAATGTATTAATGTTTTATTTATTTTATCTGGTACCAATCTAAACTCTTCTTTCCTTAGATGTTAGATGTGCTTGCAAAGAGAGCCACAGGTGTGTACTACGACAGTAATGTTATGTCAATTCCAAGAATGTTTAAGGTTATATCGGTTGATGAGGAATTTATCGATTAAACCTATAATAGCAAATTGCATCAATTTATTTTGCAAAAACAAGGTTTCCAGCTTCATAGGGGGGCACATCCCCTGTCCGGACAAGGGCACACATTGGCGCTAACACCAGGCGCGTAACAGGGGTCTTGGGTCAGAGTGGGTATTTATTTTCCCGGTTAGTAATTTACCATACCAACCAATTTATTTACTTTCTTCATTATATTTTAATCAAGAATATTCGAGAATAATTATTTATAAATGATAGCCATTATTATATAAATATGTTAAATAAAGAATTAATAGAAATAATTTAACTTATTAATAAATTTACACTTTGCGCCTCATACTATACATACTACTGCTAGGGTGTAACTAGACAAATGAAACATTACAGAAAATTACTACGGTATTATTAGTAGCAGAATCGAAACATGAATGGTACTTTCAATATACAAATACTGTAAAATAATACAATATATACCAGTATCGTAAATATAAAACATCGTTTCTTTTAGTATCTGTATGACGACGATATCGACACTTGCGGCTGTGGGAATGATGCCACTGTGTTTATGGATTTACAGCAGAAGTTGGACGGATGAATCCGCTGCCATCCCCTATATCAGTATCATCACCTCCCTGGCTCTAATCTTAGTTCCTATTGTTGTTGGAATGCTTATCCGACATTATAAAGAACGGTGGTCAAGAATCATAACCCCGGTGAGTTTTGGAAAGACGTTTAATTGAGCATTGTATACGGCCCATCCCTTGTAAAAAGGCGCAGTACAGTTTTTTTTTTTATTATGATTACAATGGTTGTTATAGTTATTATTTCATTCAGTCATCGCGAGTGCAAAAATCAGATATAGGCGGCAACATTCAGGGCGGATTTAGGGGGGGGGCGCCCCCCCCCCCCCTAAAAAGAAAAGAGAAAGAAAAAGAAAAAAATGATAGCCCAGAACGCTTCAAATGTTATTTTCGGGCGTCTAGAACACACAAATTTCGCGGGGCATGCCCCCGGACATTGTTGTCTCGATCGGCCCAAATTTCGGCCCCCCCCCCCCCCCTCTTTTGGACATCTCTGGATCCGCCCCTGACATTCATATTTTGTTTTGTCTTTTAGAGCCCCTCGCCTCGACTACATGCCTATTGCTGCCAACCTTTTACAATCTTGGTCACAGTATAACGGTTCAGTTTTCCCCTTCCAAAAATAAACTCATGAACATAAACTTCTGTAAATCCAATCATTTCTTCCACCCTAATTCTCTCTATGGCTCGTTTCTTTGAATCCGTCTCTGAAATTAAAAACTTGGGAATACAATCACCAATAATTTTAAAGGCATAAACATCTTCAATTAGTATATAAATCGGTCCTTAGAAAACGTTCAATATTTAAATTCTTAAAAACTCTTCCTCCTCTACTGTTATCACATATTCAACCTACACTGAACCAAGCTTGTCGATCCACCTGCTTCTTCCAATAACTACATTATCCTCTGTAGATACAATAATAATTCGTTTTGAATCTAGGCATAAATTCTTCATCGTTCGTTTTCTTCCATAAATTGTCCAGAACCTAGATCACCCTTTACACGTCGCTCATGCTCTACATTGCGTCATTCTCGCCTTCTTCCTTTCTTAGTCTCTCTTACGAACTGTCCATGGATCTAACATCACTCCTTCATACATTAGGACTGCTATTATTTTTTTTTTCGGATTAGTTTAACTAATTAGTTTAACTTGCTTCTTATTTTAAATGTTATTTTGATTGTTGTGATTGTAAATTTTCGATTGCGGATAATTGCTCTCGGTGGCTCAAGTAGCATTAAATATTTGAATGAATGAATGTATTTTGTTTTACCTTGTATTGGAATCTTATGCATATATTTATTTAATTCTCAGGTTGGTAGCGTAGTGGGTATGTTTGCTATTGCAGTCAACCTTATCCTCAATGGTTTGATCAACCCTAAAATGTTCCTGGTACCCTGGAATGTTTGGTTCTCAGCAGCGATAATGCCAGTGATTGCGTTCTTTCTCGGTTACATCGCCGCGTACCTGTTACGCCAGTCACGAAAAAAATGCCGCACAATTGCTTTGGAAACCGGTTGCCAGAATGTTCCCTTGGCGTTAACCCTTATTGCTCTCTCTTACGCTGACAGCGAGGATTTTTTGGAAATTTTGATTTTTCCGTCCTTGTTTGCCCCATTGTTTCTTATTGATTACAGTCTTTGCGTGTTGGTTTTCAAAATTATCGATAAAAATATGCAACCCGATGGTGATGGCGCGGAAGCTGTTACCGATCAACCAGCAAATGATATTTGCAACAAGAAGGACGTTAGTTTTAAAGTGTTAAGTCAAGAACCTTGTTGAGATATACGCTCCGCGGCTGCATTGTGTTTTATTCATAAATAGGCTTACAAAGCTTAACGTAAGTTAGATTTCGTAGTTTATTAACATATATTAATTTTGAATTCGTATAGTTTCTTTTTTAAAAATGAAAAATGTTATCAATACCGCGAAATGCGGCTGATTTCCGATAGTTCCGTTAACAACTGCAATACAAATAATGTCGAAGGACTTCTGTTATAGTTTGTTGACTATAAGTATGTGGGTTTAGTCATAGGCAAATAATACAACATAGGCCTACTGTGTATTTGACGCTGACAACGTGACCGTGTATTATTCGCCCTGCGCCAGCATGCTGCAATCAGTAGACTAGTGACATCATGGAGGTATTGTTGAGAAGGAGATCACTCGGCAAAGCTACGCGCACACAGCGCTATGCAAATGAACCAAGATCAAAGTTACCGCAGCGCGTAAAGAACGTTTGCGCGATGCCTTTGAAGTCCCATGTGTTCCCCGCCATCAAATTTTCAGCAGGCATAATTGACAAAAAAAATTAACATGACGAAATGGAGAGCACCTTCTTTTCGTCAAAGGGATCTGTTGCCGAGTGATCTCCTTCTCAATAATACCTCCATGGTGACATCTCCCTTTCTTTAAAAATTTAAGAAGTCACGATTATTATTTCTTTATTAAGATGATATAGCATTTGAAATAAAGTATATATGTGGATGAATTAAAGTTAAACATTATGTATTTTTTTGTTAAGTTGTCTTATGTAATTTATTGTTATTTAGGCGTCAAACAGTATATTAAACTAATGATGTTATGAAATTATATAAGTAGGCCTATGTTTGATTTATCAGTTAAAGTAATTAAATGATATATATAAAATAAAACTTTAACATTAACAATTAATTCTATGAACTACAGTTTAACAACAATTACAGAATGAGAATTATTATTTTTATTTTTATATTTTTTTATGTACATTTTTATGTAATTTGTAAATATTCTGTCTTGATTTGTAAATACGTATTTGAATATTTTTGTGCAGTTTTATAATTTGTAATTTTAGCCTATATATTTTTTGTAAATGCAATGATTTTAGCCTTTAGCTACTTTTTGTATTATTCTTATACTAGAATAAAATAAAATAAATAAAATTTGATCCAACAATTTCCAAACCCACACGAATAACAGGTACGACTACTACTCTCACTGACCATATTTATACAAATAATATTAATGTTTTAATTTTCTCTTGAATTTTACTTTGTGATTTATCAGATCATTTTCGCATATTACAAATAAATGACGACAATAACTTTCAAAACATTAAACGCGCTCAATCTAATTAATTTTCTATTAATAACACTCAGACTGTTTTTGTAATGAACTTGAAAAAATGAAAAATGAAAATTTATGAATGTAATCATTCCTTTATTTCTGATGTATTATTTTTTAATTTTATAAAATTCATAGCAAACATCTTGTTTATAATACACCTAAATTTTAAAATAAAGAACTTGAACAACCTTAGATGTCACAGGGGCTTTTAAAAGTACAGTAATAAAAGAAAATATCGACTTTATTAACAATATATTAAAACTCGGGATCCTAATTTTAAAAAGTCAATACACTACATAGTGTACACTTCTCGCATACTTAAAATAATTGATCCACATATCATCAATCAACTCACTTTTTCTACCAGCTGTTCGTTTAACTCCGGCTCATTCCCAATTCTGATAAAAATTGCCGAAGTCATCTCTATTTTCAATATGGATTACGCCAGAAACATTATATCTCATGCAATTCTCGACCTTGTTAATAATATAATTTCATCTTTTGAGCAAAAAAATAATGTTTACTTTCTGTTTTTATTGACTTATCTAAAGCATTTGATGTTATTAATCACAATATTTTAATTCGTAAATTATTTAATTACGGTACGGTATAAGAGGTGTTCCTTTAAACTGGTTCACTAGTTACTTATCAAATCGTAAACAGTTTGTTGCTTTAGGTTCTTGTCGGTCGTCAGAGATGGATGTAACATAGTACCGGTACCACAAGGATCTATCCTTGAGCCCTTATTATTTTTAATTTTCGTTAACGATCTTTATTCTGCTAGTGATACTAGATGTTATATCCTTTGCTGAATACTACAATCTTGTTTTCTCACTCTGATATCAATGTTTTGTTTAGTGCACTTAATAGTGAACTCATTAAAGTTGCTGATTGGTTCACCTCAAACATATTACTAATAAATACCTAAAAACCCCAACTATATATTATTTCATAAACGTCAAAACTTTAATAAATTTGCAGATGTACATGTTAATTTAAATAATTCAAATATTGAATGTATTGCAAGTACTTTATTTTTGAGTTTTTATATTCCAGAAAATTTGAGGTGGTCCTGTCATCAACAACATGTTGCTAAAATTAGTATTATTTGTAAACTAAGATATTATACTTTTCCCACTTATATCCTTGTTTCGTTATACAATAGCCTACCCTCACTCAGCCACACTTTATTGTAATTTAATTTGGGCTGCTGATTATCCATCTAATTTAAAAACGATCCTAACATTAACTAAACTCGCTCCATTTCGTAATCAATATAAATCACATAGTGATAATCTTCGCAGTACTTTGAAACCGGTTTCACTTCATATCCCATTTGTTAAACTCACGACTTCTCAACATTCATTTCCGTTTCTGGTCACATTATGGAATGGCAGGCGTGTCGGAAGCAATATTTATTGGTCCGGCCAGATCCGTCGATACCCACACCCCACCCACTCCCCCCCCCCTAACTGGGAGATTTTAAATGCGCGACTACTGTTGGCTGGCATGGGGGCCCAGGCCCTCTCTGGGGTCTAGAGGCGGAGCCCCGGTGGGGGTCCAGGGGCGTGTGACCCTGACGACGATCTGAGCATTTTTAAGCGATTTTTAAAACGATTTCAGGAGTGTTTGTTGACAATACCGGGTACGGTAAATAAACAAAAATATTTTTAATGTACATTATGTTTAATTTGAACTATATAAAAAAACATTTCATTACAAAACAAACAAAAAATGAGGCATACTGATCAATTGTTAGTTACGCGTCGGTGAATTAAGTATTTCAATTTATAAAGCGCTTTTCAATCAAACCAATTTCTTCTATTTTTTAATTCATGATAATAGACCTTTCCGCTAAGCCCCGCCCCTTGGATATTGTTGCTAAGGTCCCACAAGACGATAATGTTAAAACATACGCGAACACGTGCGTTTGTGGGACAACACGTGTGTTTGTGAGACGCACGCGTATCCCTAGCGCTGTTCTGATTAGTCAGTTGATAAGTTTGATTGACACTCCGGAAAGGTTTGTTATCACGCATAGACCAGCGCTAAATACGTGACACATTTATGATCACGCGTGTTTTCCTGCAAAATGGTGTTTCAACCAAAACCACATGCGGTACTGTCCCGCACGATGCGAAAAGATTGGTAACGTATTTAAAGCTCTTCTCTTAGGTTTGACAAATAACGTAAAAAATAGATTATTTCAAGGTTTCTTTATTGCAATTTTGCAGTCTCTCCTGAGACTTCCATATCACTGATAAATGGAATGTAAACTGATCATTGTGGGTGTGATAGGTTATTATGGCCTGTAATTAAATATTAACAATAATAACGAGATGCTTCTTTGTTAAACAAACACACGAGTAGGCCTACAAAATTTATGCAATACAATATTTAAAAAATGTCGATGTTTGTACACGAGATTCCGGATATAATATATGTCCCTGGTTCTTAATTAATTTGCTTAATGTGCCAAATTATAGAGTTGATCTGACGGGCCAAATATAATCTCAGCCGAGTTGAAAGCAATAGTTTTACATCTGGGTGAACTCCTTCCGCTAAGATAGGTCTATTTGCAATTTGAAATTACAGGAACCTTCTACTAGGCCTACACCAGTGGTCATGACCCAATTGGGTAGCGGGAAATTTCTGTGTAGACCTGTCATCAGTTTAACAGTCGTTAGTCAAAATACAAGCAGTTTTCCGAAGTTCACAGTACGCATGTAATACTGTACTAGCGAAATGTAATTTTATGAGCATTGTCTATTGAAACACTAACTTTTTATTCCCTGTAAAGTTAAAATGCTATTAACGAATCTCAATGAACATTTACAGAGATCGAACTTGGCGGCACAAATGTCGGGGTGATGCTAATACTGTATGAATTGAAGAAAAAAAGCTATTGAGGAAACACAATGCTCAGAACAAAACAGAGACAGAACTTGGCGTCATATATGACTTGAATTATATGCAGGACAATCGAAATGTATTTTTATAAACACTATTCTTTGGTTCATTAGCTGTTTATTATCAAGTAAAATAAAGTAGACTTACGAATAGACGATAAAACCCAATACGCCATAGCGCCTAGATGTTATTAACATTAGGCGTTATATAGATATTGATTATACCGTAGACGTATTGCAATAACCTAAATTTAGCTGTGTTTACCTCTAGATTAACAATGGGCTTCTTCTACCATGAGTCTCAAATCATGCATGAGGACCCTAAAATGTTAACATGTCTATGATAAATTTTTTACTTCCACTGGGCTGCTATATTAAATTTAGAACAGCTAAAATTATACCAATCTCGGGAGTTTTACTAATAGTTTTGTTTACAGGGTTTAGAACAGGACAACGAAAAGTACGGTACGGTATCCAGTGCTTAATTTTTGGCGCAATTTATTCTATTTATTGCCTACTGTATATCATCCTGCTAAATTCAAACCACCCCGTGCACATTACCCAGGGATTTAATTTTTCTCTATTGAAAATGTATTTATCGAAATTTTTATATTATGTTTTAAATATATATTTTTTTTCATTACTTTGTTTTTCTTTACGGGCCAAATTAAATTGCCTAGTGGACCGCTTATTGAGGACCAGGGATATATGTATAATATGCAATGAAATGAATGTTACACAAGGTACGGTATATTACATTATGTTTACACGCATTAAAAAAAAAATGAATATTTTGTCATGCTCTGGATGAGCATTAAGAATTTTATCAAGTTGCCTAAATGCTATGTTTGTGGTAGGTCTTTACTGAATCATTTCTTAGCAGATGATAAAAAAACGTTTAATCGTTTAGTTTCGATTTCGATTTAGTACATATCATATTCATAGTCACATGTATGGACAATAGAAAATTAAAAGTATGTCTAAAAGAATAAATGAAAATATGAAAATGAGACGTAAAGAATTAATTGAAGCATTCTTTAATTAGGCAATCCTTAAGTAGCTTCTATTATTTTTGCAAATAAATGATATGTGACGAACAGCAAAAATTAATTAAATACGTATATCAGAATGTAATTTAAATCCGTCTAGCGTATATAGATTGTTGCTCTTTAAATTTGAATATGAGCGAGCCCTATACATCTTATGTTATTAATTTGATTATTATTATTTATAAATATTAAAATAGTATAGGTCAGTTGGCCGCAATATATAAACTGTGCTTTGCTGTAAATGTTATAAATTGTAAGTGTTAAATGATATA